TGTGATACTCAGATGACACAACTTTGCTTGCTGAAAGTGAGGATGACTTGAAGCACTTACTGATGAAGATTAAAGACTACAGTCTGTAGTATGGATTACACCTCAACATAAAGCGAAAATCCTCACAACTGGACTAGTAAGCAACATGATGATAAATGGAGAGAAGATTGAAGTTGTCAGAGATTTCCTGTTACTTGGTTCCACAATCAACATCATTGGTAGTAGCAACAGTCAAGAAATCAGACGATGTATTGCACTGGGCAAATCTGCAAAAGACCTCTTGAAAGTGCTAAAGAGCAAAGTTGTCTCTTTGAAGACTAAAGTATGCCTAACCCAAGCCATGGTATTTCCAGTCATCACATATGCATGTGAAAGCTGGACAGTGAATAAGGAAGACCAAAAAAGAGTTGATGCTTTTGAGTTGTAGTGTTAGTGAAGAATGCTAAAGGTACCATAGACTGCCAGAAAAATTAACAAATCTGTCCTGGAAGAAGTGCAGCCAGCATGCTCCTTGGAAGTGAGAATGGCCAGGCTTCGTCTCACCTACTTTGGTCATGTTGTCAGAAGGGACCATTCTCTGGAATATCATCCTTGGTGAAATGAAGGGCAAGCAAAAAATAGGAAGGCCTTCAACGAGATGGATTGACTCAGTGCCTGCAACAATGGGCTCAGGCACAGCAGTGATTGTGAGACTGGCGCAGGATTGGGCAGTGTTTCGTTCTGTTGGACATAAGGTAGCTATGAGTTGGAGCTAACTCAGTGGCACTTAATAATAACAACTACTTCACCTAGCATAATGGCTTCTAAGTGCATCCATGTTATGAGATGTTTTGCAGAGTTACCATTGTTCTTTAACATTGCATAGTATTCCACTGTGTGTACTTACCATAGTTTGTTGATCCGTTCCTCTGTTGATGGGCATTTAGGTTATTTCCATCTTTTTGCTGTTGTGAATAGTGCTGTGATGACCATCGTGTGCATATATCTATCTGTTTGTGTCATGTCTTTATTTCTCTATGATATATGCCACTAGTGGTATTGTTGGATCATATAATGTTTCTATTTCTGGCTTTTTAAGGAAGTGCCATACCATTTTCCACAGTAATTGCACCATTTTACAGTTCTACCAGCAGTGTATGAGGGTTCATACACCCTTGCCAGTGTTTGTTGTTTTCTGGTTTTTTTTTTTTTTTTAACTTTGCTATTAGTGCTGGAGTGGGATGATATCTCATTGTTTTCATTTGCATCTCTTTAATAGCTAATGATTGTTGTTGTTATGTGCCATGGAGTTGGACCTGATAGCGACCCCTCCTTGGGTTTCCAAGGCAGTATCACTACAGTAGATTGCCCAACCTTCCTTCTGAGGAGTGGCTGGTGGGTTTGAACCGCCAGCCTTCTGGTTAGCAGTCAAGTGCCTTAGCCACTACTCTACAGAGCTAATGAGAACCAGGCAGTGTTTCATTCTGTTGTACATAGGGTCACTATGAGTAGGAGCTGACTTGACAGCATCTAACAACAACAGCAACAATAGCTAATGATGGAGTCTTATTTTCTTGAATTCATTGTACTCCTTAAATTTATAGAGCAGTCAACAGTTTGTGTGCTTTTTGGATTGTATTTTCTCTTGCTTGCTATCTTGTCTTCTTTTTCTCTGTATTGTATTTGCCTTCTTCCCATGTCATTTCTTTATATTTTTTCATGCTTAATGTGGGCAGCTGTGTCCAGAGTTTTTTGTTTGCTCCTCTCTCAGATCAGACAGAAAGCACCTGGGGTGGGGTAGGGAGAAGTTGCTGTATGGTTGCTTGTGCTTTGGGTGGACAATTGGGATTTTCTTT